GAAGGGAGAGTTTGGGGCAGGTTCTCTGGGGGTGAATATGAGAGCAAATCCTGCCCCACCCCACCCTGTTTGGCAGTGTGGACACCCTGGCCATGGAACTGTGGTTCTGATGTGACCTGGGCCACACCCAGCACACACCTGGAGCCCACAGAACTCCCCACATGTAACGAGCACGCGGGCACACGCCCATCTCCCTGGGGTGTGCCTGGGGCCTCCCGTGACCATAAGCACGACGCACCCATCAGAATCTCTTCTCCCCTCAGTCATAGGAGGGGTGTAGATGGAGCAGGTGGTTCCAAGAGGGGTATAATTTCATGGGAGCTAACTCTGTGTTTATGTGCCAGCCACAAACATCGCTCCCTGCCACCCTAGTTGGGGCCTGATGTCCCCCCATTCAGGCCGTCCAAGAGCCCCTGCCTCGGTGCCCCTGAGGTGGTGGAGGGAGGCAGTGACTTTGTTGCGCCATGGATGCTCCTCAATAAACTCTGAGATTGGGCAGGACACTGGATAGGGAAGGAAGGGAGGCAGAGAGTCCTGAGCACTCTTGGAGCGCAGCAGGAACGGGGGCTCCAGGGAAGTGAAGGTCACGTGATATGAGCATCTAGAAGTCAAGGGAAAGACGAAGCTGGGAGGAAGGGCTTCAGCACAACTCCTGGCCTAGGCCTCTCTGACTACAGACGAGTGCTGTCCAATAGGGGACAAGGCAAGCCACAGGTGTGCAAAGATGCCCGTGAAATTAATTTTAATCGTATAGTTTATTTAATCCAAGATATCACCATTCCCCATGGAATCAATATAAAAAGTATATATATATTTGGTCATGCTAAGCCATGGAAACCCAGTGTGCATTTTATACCTACAGAGCGTCTCAATTCAGACAGGCCGTGTTCAAGTGCTCTAAAGGAACCCATGACTGGTGAACCCCTGCAGGGCTCTAAATCTGGCTCATGCTGTCCCTTCTGCTTGGATCGTCCCTCCAGCATAGCCACGCCCACTTCACAAGGTTGGTCCAGGAAGCTCCAGCCAGGCGAGCTCGCTCCTGCCTCAGAAATATTGGACGCTGTACGTATCGGATGACGTCACATAGTGTTCTGTCTGGGTGCGAGGGCCGTATCTACAGGGTCAGTGTCTCCGCAGAGGAGGTCTCCTGAAGGACCTCACCAACCTATGCCTCCTCTGCAGGGTCTTTTTTATGCTCTGCACAGAGAAGGTGCTGGAGAAACGTGTGCTGGAATGAAATGAGGGAATGTTTGCATATTTTATGAGGTTTGCTTAGGACGGTTCCTTTGTTCACATAAGAAAGCCAGGACAGGAGCAGGGTGGACTGGTGGCGGTGGGGGAAAGAGTCTCTTCGATAAATGGTGTTGGGGAAACTGGATGGCCACATGCAGAAGAATGAAACTGGACCACTTTCTTACGCCGCCCACAAAAATAAACTCAAAATGGATTACAGACCTAAATGTCAGACCTGAAGCCATAAAACTTCTAAAAGAAAATACAGGCAGTAATTTCTCTGACATCAGCCGTAAAAACACTTTTCTAGATCTGTCTCCTCAGGCAAGGGAAACAAAAGCAAAATTAAACTATTGGAACTACACCAAAATAAAAAGCTTCTGCACAGCAAAGGAAACCATCAACAAAGTGACAAGGCAACCTACGGAATGGTAGAAGATATTTGTAAATGACATATCCGAAAAGGGGTTCATCTTCAAAATGTATGAAGAACTTACACAATTCAACACAAAAAGAACAAATAATCCAATTAAAAGATGGGCAGAGGACCTGAAGAGGCATTTTTCCAAAGAAGACAGACAGATGGGCAACAGGCACATGAGAAGACGCTCAACATCACTCATCGTCAGGGAAATACAAATCAAAACCACAATGAGATAGCACCTCACACCTGTCAGAATGGCTAGAATCAAAACCACAGGAAATAACAAGTGCTGGCAATGATGTGGAGAAAAGGGGGCCTTCGTGCACTGCTGGTGGGGATGCGACTTGGTACAGCCACTGTGGAAAACAGTATGGAGGTTCCGCAAAAGATTAAAAATAGAATTACCATATGATCCAGTAATTGCACTACTGGAGATATATCCCAAAGAAAATGAAAACACTAATTTGGAAAGATATATGAATACCTGTTTATAGCAGCATTATTTATAAAAGCCAAGATATGGGAGGAACCCAAATGTCCACTGACTGATGATGAATGGATAAAGATGTAAGATATATATATATATATATATATATATATATATATATATATATATAGTGGAATATTACTCAGCCATAAAAAGAATGGAATCTTGCCATTTGTAACAACATGGATGGAGAGCTAGGGAGTATAACGCTAAGTGAAACAAGTCAGAGAAAGACAGATACTATGTGATTTCACTCATATGTAGAATTTAAGAAACAAAAAAGAACAAACAAAGAGAAAAAACAGACAGACAAAAAAACAGACTCTTAAATACAGAGAACAGAGAGGTGGTCGCCAGAGGGGAGTGGTGGGCAGGGGCTGAGTGAAATAGAGGGCATCAAGAGTACACTTGTCAGATGAGCACAGAGTAATGCAGAGAATTGTTGAATCACTGTATTATACACCTGAAACTAATACCACACTGTTTGTTAATTATACTTCAATAAAAAAGTAAAGTTAAAATTTACCCCCCCCCAAAAAAAGAGTCAAGATAGGAGCTGGGACGGTGGTGGCAGTGAGTGGGCCTGGGGGTGGCTTCCCCAGAGCTGTATTTTGTATGTATGAGGTTTTCTGGGCATAGCTTTTTCTCCTTAGTAAGTTGCCATTCATCCCCATAAAAGAGGAACAGTTCTGTGAATATTTTTAAAAACCCCAAGTGCATCAAATCCATTTGGAGGGAACATATTGCATTGTGAATCTACTATCAATTTTACTGAAATGTTATTTTCTGGGCACCATTAGATGAACCAGGCTATAATCAGAAAAAAAGGAAAATTTTGTTGGGAAATGAGATTAAGCCAGAGAAAAATCCAATAGTTTAAAGCTGGAGCCACATTACCTAGTCTCCTCTGAGGGTTCAAGTTCCTGTCGTCAGCCCACAGGTCCCCTCTCCGGTGGGATCTAAGAGGAGAGCCGTCTGCCTGCCCTCCCCTCCCATTGCCTCTTTCCTCGTTGGATTAATCCCCTCAATGCACGCACCAGCCCATCACAAGTACAAGGGAGGGAGTGCCAACCACAGATGTCATCCATGCCAGGCCTGTGCTATCCACGCTCCCCATGCTCAAAGGCTTCAATCCTCAAAACAACCCTAAGTGGCAGGCACTGCTCACTTCGATGGGAGGCTGGAGGCTCAGAGAGGTGGTATCACTGGCCCAGGGTCACACAGCAGGAAGAAGTGCAGCTGTGGTTTGAACCCAAGCGGGCACGTTCCAGAGCCTATGCTGGTCACCGCCCTGTGGCCCCGCCCTTAGACAGCAACAGAAACCCACTTGTCTCTGCCTGGGTTTCGTGGCCCTTGGAAAACCTGATCTATGCAAGCTCCGGAATCCTGGCGGGATGTGGCGCATCTAGACCAAGGGTTCTCACCCAGGGGTGATGCTGATCCCCAGGGCAGTGTCTGATGACATTTCTAGTTGTGAACACTGGGGAGCAGGAGCGGGGTAGTGGCGAGTCGTTGGGTAGAAGACACAGTGCTGCTAACGGCCTCCAATATGAGCAGCCCCACCCGAAAGGGGATCCCACACAAAATGTCAGTAGTGGGGAGGGGAGGTCTAGTCAACGGTTCTAGAAGGAAGAACTATCGGCTCTTGCTCTGCCCAAGTCAGACCTACCCAGAGACCCGCAGACCGTCCCAGGTCCTACATGCAAAGCGAGAATTCCCCCAGAGAAGGCAGCTGTGAAGAGATAGGGGAAGACGCTCCAAGAGAAGAAAAGATGGGGGCTGCCGTGGGGGAGCAGGGCCCCTAGGAGGAGGGGACAGATGTTCTCCTGGGCCAAAGAAAGCGGATGGCACTACAGGGAACCAGATGTCAGCTCAGGAGAAGGACGCACGGGAGGTACAGGGAGACCTTACAGTGGGCTCCGCCTCCCCAGAGCATGCAAGCCCACCCTGGGAGAGAGCTAGGCAGGGGGTCCCTTCCGCCTGCCAGCTGAGGACACCACGGGATGCTGGGATGCTGGGCTGTGTCCTCATTCAATCTCTCTCTCTCTCTCTCTCTCTCTCTCTCACACACACACACACACACACACACCCTGCACAGATCCTACTTCCCAGGCTCAACACCCACTTCCTAATCAAACATCAAAGTCCCTTTTTATCGTCAACTTCCTAAACAGTGAAGCCATTCCGGATACAGAGTTGTGGTTTCTTTTTCCCCTCCAGTGTGCAAAACTGATGGGATGATGCTTTTTTGCCTGGCTAAAGCACAAGAGAGAAATCCTGCAGCTAGAGCGGGTTGGCTTTTGGAACGCACGGCCCCGCGGTCAGCAAGCTGCACCTCGGAGCACAGGCGGTGGAGGATGGGAGCGAAGGTGGCCAGCTCACAACGCCTGTGCTAACGAGCGGGAGGTGCCCAGAGCGGCGGGACAGGCAAGCCTACCTGGCTGGGCACGGGGCGAGCTCCCTGCTCCCTGGGCCGATGGCACGTGGTGCCTGCTGTTGACCAGGGTGTCCAGGCAGAGGACGCCCAGGGAGCAGGGCCACACCGTGCTCAGTGGGCAGTAGGAACCCAACCAGGGCAAGGTGTTTCCTCTGTCCATTCTCCACTTTCCTTTCCTTTTGGGGCTCTTGGGGCTACACGGTTAGACGATGTGATTTGGGAATCAAGGGGAGAGTCTTTCCCATCCCTTCTGGTTCTGAAGGCTGCATGCGCCCTCCTTCTCACCAAACCTGTCAAGTTCACTGTCACCCCAACACCCGCTCTGGAAACATGTGTCCGAGAGAGAGGCCAGTGACTGCTCCAGGTCACGTGGGCCCTGCTTTGCCCTTCAAAGGCCCAGTCCGGCCGGTGAGGCTCACCTGGTGATCACGTAGGGCGCGAAGCATATGAGGAAGGTCCCTATGAAGGTGCTGATCTTCCTGGTGGCGCGCTGCCGCCTCCTTCTCTGCTCCTCCAGGCAGCGTTCCCGCACACTGCGCATGAGAGAGGGGAGGATGACTTGCTATTAATGAACACAGGCAGGGCGTTGAGTGCAGGGGCTCGGGGAGGAGCCAGAGAGACCTGAGGTCAAGTCCCGGCCATAGGCGTGTGAGACCTTGGACACGTGCATGACCTAGGACACGTGCGTGACATCGCTAAGCCTCAGGGTCATCATCTGTGAAATGTGCATAGTAATATAATAAAATGCCACCAAGGGCTCTTTGGAAAATTAAATGCAAAAAGCACACAGATGCACGGAATGCATTCAATGCGTAAAGCACATAAAGCAATTAACACAGTGCCCAAGGGCAAGTAAACATAAATTCTCATTGTTACTACTCATGAAATTCACTGATCACCTGCTGTATGCCAGTGCCAGAGTCTACATTCTCTGAGTAGTATCTCTAATTCTTGTCTTTACTGATATTCATCTTGCTGGGTGTGCTCGACCTGCCACGTGGGTTTCACCTGCCCTGTTTTACAGTGAATAGCATGAGCTCAGTGAAGCCAACTGGTTTGCCCAGCTGGTAAATGGAGACAGGATTTGAAGCCTTGGCTGTTTCTCAAAGCTGGTCCTTTCTACCTGGGCTGACCTGGACTCTTCCTTTCCTCCACGCCTTCAGTCCTGGATCTTCCATCCCAAAGCCTCAGCCCTGCCTGCAGCTATAGACACTGCCTTAGGGGGTCACAGGGAGAAGTCACTTGGTTCCTTCAGGGACCAAGCTCAGTGAAGCTAATAGAACGTTTAGTCTCTGGGAAATCAGGGACACAGCTTAGAGGATGGAATCAGGAGCTTGCTGCCTATGCTTCTAACCACAGCCCGGTCCTGACTCCACCAGCTCCAGGGACTTTCGAGAACTGACATCTCATGCCAACTGAGAGAAGTGGTTTGTGCAACCTATTTCCTGTAGGCACAGGGTAATTCATGAGCACCAGTGAGCTTTCCGTTACCACCATCAGAGAGCCCGAAGGGCCAGTCCAGCTGTAAGGTCTCACATGCTCCTTTCCACGGGATTCCATGTGGGCAGGTGTTTCTACTATTTATTTATTTATTTTTAAGATTTTAACTATTTGAGAGACAGAGAGCGAGCATGAGCAGGCCGGGGGGGCGGTCAGAGGGAGAGGGAGAAGCAGACTCCCCACTGAGCAGGGAGCCCGATGCAGGGCTCGATCCCAGGACCCTGAGATCATGACCTGAGCCGAAAGCAGATGCTTAACCGACTGAGCCACCCAGGCACGCCATCTACTGTGTATTTTTAAAATAAATCACATTATTCCAAAAACGCACAAGGAGGAAGACTGCAGACAGAGCTGCCCAGGATGTGGAGATAATCTGGCCGATAATATAGGCCCTTGCTATAGAGCCCCAGCTCCAGAATTAGGCCAGTCTGTTCAAGGAAAGCAAGGGGCGGAGGGAATGTGCATGAGCCAGGTTCACAAGCAGCATGAATGCCAGGGGGGCGACCTCCCCCTCCTTCCACAAGGACTACTGTTTTAACAGTGAATTAAAACGGGCCCCTGAAATTCTTGCAGGACTTCTTCCCCTTGCCTTGGAATGTAGAGTTGGGAACTGGAGTTTGGTTTTATACAAACAGGTTTCACACTGGCTGAAAAAGTATTAACCATTAAATCACACTAGTAATTAATTTATAATAACTAATATTAATAAAAAACCACATTTCTTGAGGCTTTAACCCGTCCCATCTTAGACACTTTGATGGAGATTCATGTGCGTTAGTTTATTGATGCTCACAATGTCTCTGTACATTGACGACGGATACAACTATAATCTTTTTTTTTTTTCAAATAAGCAGATGAGGCACAGAGGGGTTAAGTAACTTGCTCAAGATCACACAGCTGGTGAGTAGTGGTGATAGGATGACCAACTTGTCCTGGGTAATCAGGACTGTCCTGGTTTTAGCACAGAAAGTCTCATATCCTGGATGCTTTGCATGGGACTGGCCCAGTTTTAAAATGGAAAACCCGCCTCCACCCAGAGCAATCCAGGACAGTCTGTTGCCCCAGGTGATAACAGGATCTGAACCCAGGCCATCTGACTTTGGAGGCTTGGGTGTCGTCTCCCAACTAGTGGGGGGTCTTCACCAACCCCTTGGGAGGCACCAGGGCATCATCTTATCCAGAAAATCTGAAGAATACAGCCAGTGGGGGAGGAGGACTGGGAGACTTCGTCTGAGGTCACCCAGCAAGAGTCAGTCTTAATCTCCTGGCTCCCCATTTATACTTGGGTCTCTGCAGAGTCTTCTACCAATGTCCTCTGGCTCTTGTAACATGTGCACGATATGGGTGGGCATGGAGAGAAGGCACAAGTCCCCACCCAGGAGGTCTGGATGCCATGAGGTAACCAATTCATCTTGGTCTGCCCGAGATGGTCCTGGTTTTAAAACCCAAAGTCCTGCATCCTCAGAGAGCCCCGTCAGTACTTGGCAAACCAGGACGATGGTCACCCTAGGGCATGTGCGTTTGGTATATTCTCCATAACACAGGCCCTTTTGTTTTAATATTGAAATATATCCCCCCAAATGTTCATGTAATGGACTTGAGAATTGCTGGAGATTTGGGACCTGAGCCATCATGGTACACTCAGCCCCTGAGAGGCATAGGGCATTCTAGGTATCTCCTAAAAAATGAGCACCACATCAAGGGTACCCCAGAGAAACTGATGGTGGCACTGGGGCTGGGCCCTCCTCCCGTCTGTGACCGTGACAATGTTGTCCATTTCTCAGATGCTTCAGAATAACCCCAATGAATGAAGGAGCTCTGAGTGAGATGCCCTAGTCCCAGCTCTGCCCTCATTGCTGTGTGGCCTTGGGGAAGTCACTAAACCTCTCTGAATCTGGTTCCTCGTTTATCCAAGGGGAATTTCATAATAGCTATAACTAGAGCTACCATTTATCAGGCACAGAAATGACTCATCAGCTAGCAAGCTCTTGAGGAGTGAGGAGCTTCCTCCGGCACCCCCAGGACGGACTGAACTCCCTGCTGAGGGGCTGAGGACCCAGTTGTCTCCCCTCTCCTGGCTGCGCCAGATAGTCCTTCCTTAAAGACATGAGGAATACTTAAAAGCAGATATTGGTAAAAGCTTCGGAGGTCTTTGGGAAGAAAAACAGACATATTTCAGTGACCCGAAAGGAATAAAATAGACATTGTATAGACTGGAATGATCAGCGTCCCTACTGTACACGGTCAAAATCTGTGGGGAATAATTCTCTCTGTTCTTGCAAAGCTTTGTACAGCAGGAAGCATTGCATGGCGGGCACTTACAGACAAGTTACTTCTGTGGGTGCCTGCAGTTCAAAGCTCAACATCTGACATCCAGAAAACACCTAATCCGTCTATGTGGTATGAAGGGATGAGCCCTTAAAAAATCTCTTAGAAAATTAAGTCTCAATCATTTTTTTAAGTGACCTCCTCAAAAGAGATGATGGTAGAAACCTGTTCTGAAACCGATTTTTTTTTTAAGTGAGCCTTAAAAATCTTGAGCCAATTGGACAAAGCAAGACCATGAAAGCTGCCACTAACCTGGAGGCCTTTCTTGTTAATAGTGTGGTAGTAAGCGTGTGGCCCCAGAGCCTGACGTCTGGGTTCAAATCCAGGCTTTGCCACTTAATTGCTGTGTGGCTTTAGGCAAGTTACACAACTTCTCTGTTCATCAGCCTCCTCATCTCTAAAATGACAGTTCTAAGAGTACCTATCTCCTAGGGTCTTATTGAGATTAACATCCAAAAAGTACCTAGGACAGCGTCTGACTCAGTAAGCACTCAATAAACACTAACCATGATTATTATCTATTCAACATGTTTACTGAATGATTACCATGTCCCAGCACTATCTTGAGCTCCAAAACCACAGGGCTCCCTCCCACTATAAAAGTCTTCTTTCTGCCCTGTGCATGTATGAGAGACAGACAGACAGAAAGACAGAAAGAGCGGCAACCAGGGGCCATGCCAGAGGAAAGAGGTCTGAGCTGACTCCTGACTCTCATGCTGGCTCTGTGACCCTCTCTGGCCTCCAGGAACCCAGTGGATACTGTCTTAATGGCCCTTGGCATGCCGCAGGTGTCTGAGGTGGATGCCGTGTCTGGGTTAGCAACCACATGGGCCTAGGCATGTCTCTGCTCTGAGACAGACTGGCTAGACCCTACAGTCACACAGTCATGTCTAGTATGGGAAACCCCCTCATCCCCCTAACCCAGCTCACAGATGGAGAAAATGAGGCTCAGAGAAGAGAGGAACTTGCCCCCCTCCCCCAGAGAGTGAGATGCTAGCAGAGCTAGCACCCAGTTACTGACTCCCGGTATGGCACTCCTGGTCAGGAACCACACGGCTGCTTCCCCAAACTCCTGCAAGAGGACGGATCCACTTCCCTGCCCAGAGCCCCTCCTCCCCCCCTATTTCCAGGTAAGGCCAGGAGGATGGCAGCAGAAGGAGGGCAGAGCAGCCGTGCAACCCTCTTGCTTATCATTATTGTGAAGCACAGGATGAGAGCAGCTTGCCTGCGCCCAGAACAACAGAATAAAATCACTCTGCACTTGCTCTCATTTTTTCCCCCACCACAGCTTTGCAAAACTGAGCTCCTTGACATCTTGTAGCCCTGTGAGCTGTTATTTTATTTATTTGCAGATAAGGACACAGAGGGCCAGCTGGGCTTACACCATGCCAAGGGTCCCACAATGAGTTTAGGACAGAACCAGGACTCCTGACTCCAGGATCTGGGGTGTTTCCCCCAGATCCCACTGCCCTCCATAGGATCACAGAGAAATAAGCAAGCTGCGTCTAGCCACATGAATGCATTCTCCAGATAGTTCTGGGCAGCTGGAGTCCTCAGACTTGTAGGCTGACTCTGCAGTGCAGAGGGTAAGGGGCCCCAAATTCCCCTGGCCAGCAACATCCTCCCCAAGTACAAGCAAGGGCACCAGCGTGGGGCTTTCCAAGAGCTGCCATAGGACACAGCTTCCTTGTGACAAAGAGATGGGCTTTCTGGCATCGTAACATATGGGGCCAAAGAGATGTTCCCCAGTAGGCATCAATAAATGGCAGAATGAACAGAGAAGGCCAGGAATATCTGAAGTGAATAAATGAGACGACCACAGCCCAAATCTTCCGGTCCCAGACACCACCACGCCCGGCACGATGGTCTGGGCCCTCAGTGGTCTCCAGATGACGGCAGTTGGTCCTGAGCGCATGCTCCAAGTACCCCCAGGGCAATCCAGATTTGTTTTCTGGCTTTTAAAGAGAACAAAACAAAAGGCAAGGGAACAGGCTGACCAATGGTGGAGCTGACCTTGAGTTTGGGGCCAGGATGCTGGTGTGGAAAGTCATGTCCTCAGATCTCACAAGAGGGGACCTTATCCTGGGTCCTGGATGGTGAGGCGGACTACGCCCCTCCCCACGAAATGAAGACTTCATGTGCCCACCCAGAGCCCACACCATCCATTCTAGATCAAGCTCCAAGGACCCGGAAGCCGGAATTCCCTGCCCAAATGCCCCGATCCTACTTCCAGAACATGAGCAGGCACCGTCCCCAGGCCCATCCTCCAGAGGGTGGACAATGCCACAGGTGTGCTCGCTTGGGGCCTGAGTAGTGGAGGCTCCTCGTGGTACTGGGTAGAGCCAGGGGTGGGAAGGAGAGGCAGGGGCTGTGTGCTGGGAGCCAGCTCAGCTTTCCCCACCATGGACGAGGCTGAACTCCAAGGAGCCTGAGAATTCTAAATTTGAACCCAGCCTTGCAAAGTGTTATAAATGTATACTTGTCAAGGTAGGAGGATAGAACATATTTCATTTAACAGTTTGTAAGCTTAATTTAGAACTTCTAAATATTTATATAGATGATTTATGAGCCTCTATTTGCACTTTTGTCCCATCTATAAATCTTAGGGGCAGAACCAGGCACAAGTTTTGGCTTGAAACACATCCTAGACCTGTTAAATTAGGCAAGTGCCCTTGCCCTTCTTCCCTGGGTCTCCCAATTTCCTCACCTGTAAAATCAAGGGCACAGTGAGGTTATCTCCATGGGCCCTTCCATTTCCTATGCCACAGCTTGGATGCCCTCCAGGGTGGACCCTTTAGCCAACCCTCCCTAGACCCTGATCACAAGGATGAGTGTGCTTCACCGTCCCGTGGAGAAGTCCCTGAACCCATCCCGGTGAGTGGCGGCCCTCAGCTGGACTGGGGTACCAGGGATGTCACGTCGGTGCCCCGGCACCCCACCTTTGTCCCACGTCAGGTGAAAGCCCACAACTCTCAGCACCAGGGAGAGGACCCACCAGCCCTCGTCCGGAGCTGTGGTTTGGGAGAACAGAACCAAGCAAATGGAGCAATCAGAGGACCAGGTGGGTAATAAATATTAGGAATTCTTAATTGCTTTACGAATGTCGCAACTTGAAAAACCACCACAGGAAGACAGGAGTGGGGAACGTCTCTCAGGACAGATTTAATTTAAACCAGAGGGTCTTTTGGCGTTATTGAAACCAAGGAGTCCAGCCTGCCACTCACGGGGTTAAACACTCTGTGGGAAGAGCAGGCCCCAGCAGGGAGCTTTCTGACAAACGTCACCCTGGGCCTCAGGGAACTCAAAAACGGGTCCCTCCTAATTAAGTCTCAGGAGGCCGTTAGTGAGGTGGCTGTTAAGGAAAACTTCCAGCGAGCAATGACTCCACCTCCTGCCCTGGCTGTCCAGATAAGGAAGCCTGGCTTCTGCTGATCCCCAGGTGCCCCTGGCTGTCGACACCAAACCAGCCCGGGAGGCTTGGCTGATCTTTCTGGAGCTTTCGTGCCTAGGGCTTGGAGGCTCGAGGGGCAGCCTTCTCCGTCAGACCGAGCTAGCTCTGCAGTTTCTCCGTTACGGAGAGGAAGAGTTTAGAGCTGCCAGGAAAGAAGGCTGTGGATCAGCTGTGAGGAAGCTGGTGCCCTCCTGTGTGTGCCCATCACCCACCCTCTCGCTCTGGGGACCTGACTCTGTGCAGAAGGCGGGTGGGGTTCACTGAAGGGACAGTGCCATCACATCTGCTTGCTACGCCGTAACCTCAGGCCGGCTCTCGGCCGGTGGGGTCTGTCTGAACTGGCCGAGGGCCATCCCTGCCCCAGGAGCCCTTCCCCTACCCTGGTGCAGACTAGCGCTATCCCTTGGCCCCGCACCGCCCCATGGCACTGGGAGTCGGGGTTCCTGAAAGCATCCCGGGGCTTCGAAGAGGTCAAGGTTCCCCCAGAGGGGACCAGAGGGAGCATGCTGGCCTGGAGCCAGTGACAGGTTTGCAAGAGTGGAGATGGCCTTATATCCCAAATGGGCTAAAAAGAAGCCACGGCCCCTCCTGTTCTGGAATGTGGAATGGCAGCAGGGATGGGACGTGCACTGGTCTGAATAAGAACGGATTCCTTTCCTGGTTCAACACCTTCTCTGCCTAGACTCATGGTGGGAGGGCCCGTGATAGGAATCGTTCTAGTCCCGGTTGTTCAACAACATTCCCTCAGCTTCTAAAACAGCCCCAGTCAAGTCCTGGGGATGCACCTTCTAAAGTGAGGTCCTCACGCCCCGGGAGATGGCAAAGGGGAGCAGTTCTGCAATTGCGGATGCGGAGTATTTCCGAAAGCGACACTGAACCATCAACAGATGCGGGCAGTGAGTCAGCCGTGTCTTTGTAGTCAGTGTGAATGCATGTCCCCTATGACGTGCACATGTGGTGACCCATCTGTTAGACGTGCAGTCTACACATGAACACGTGCAACTGTGTGCGTGTGGCTCACACGTGTGTACACGTGGATTCATAGGCCCTGGTGTCTTTGTGCTATTGGGCATTCACATGTAAACACTGTGCATGATTCCGCGGGGAACACTCTGTGGCTGGAAGCCTTGGCCCGGCATGGAATGAGGGGCCATTCTGGGGCGAAACAGTGGACACACGCGTGCATGCCTTTGCGTGCGCACAGTAAAGTTTAAGGGCTCTTCTTTCTATTGCTCATGGGCAGAAACAACTCACACTGAAGGAACGCTTGCTCAGACTGGCACGTCCAGTCTGTCCACCTCAGCCACAAGCTTGCTTCTCCTTGGGTGGGGAGGGGCATCCACACCGTAAGGACCCAACTCCCTCACTGCCCCCAGCCACCCCCCTGAGGAGTTCTCTGTCTAGCTCACTTTCTGCGCCATCTGGAAGCCAAAGCCCCCTGATTTAGGGTCCTGGGCGACAGAAGGGAAGGCTGCCCTTCCCTGGGGTGATGAGATCTAAAACGGCAGAGTCCTCAGAGACACCACCAGCTGTTTCCTTCCTTGGGTTCCTAGTCCCATAAGGAAAACCAAGGTGAGCTCAGGACACCTCAGCTAAGAGTTTCCTCCTTCCTTCCCCGAAATGCTCCAGGGGATGGCAGGAGTTCCTAGGGAGTGGCTGCACCTGAAATGCCCACCCCGACCTGCCTTTCTGAGACAGTGGCCCGGTGAGGGTGCAGGTGGGGTGGGTGGGTTTTTCCCAGGAACCTCGTGGGTGACACTCCCCCTGCAAGTGCCTCCGGCCTCCAAGTCTGGGGGCCACAGGGCAGTGCCGTTTGGGAAGAGCAGGAGAAGCCCCCCTCGAGTTCCCTCAAGAGCCCTTCAGATGCTCCTTTAAGGATCCACAGAGGAAGGTGCAGCCCGAGGACTGTCTCACACACACAGGATCAGGAGACAGAGGCAGTGCCACACACAGAGAAAGGAAAGACCCAGAAAAGCACCATGTTCCCACAAGAGCTCTCGAGGGGCTCCCCAAGCATCTAAGCCACACTCTCAGGGCCCTCATCAGAACCCTTTAAAGGACTCAAGCAGTGAACAGAGATCACTGCCTTCTCGCGCGCTGTTTAAAGTGAAATCTACAAACACATCAAAGAAGTATCAGAGAAGTCCAACAGAGTTCTGACTCTGCTTTCTACCCCGAGGCTTCAAAAAACGTACATACTGTTTCACCCACGTTTTTGGTGGTTTGCTTTGTGGATGCTCTAAGCACCCGTCTCAAGACCGGCAGCACTTGTCCCTCCCCCGACCCGAGTTTTCAGAAGCAGGAATGGAGGCTCCGTGGCATAGGGGCCTGCTCGAGGCCACAAGCTGGGACGTGGGGGGACACAAGAACCCCCTTCCTCCCACCAAGAGCCCTCCCCAAACTGAGCCTCCCCTCCCACAGTCCTGCCCCCGGCCCCCCCACCCTCACCTGGGGTGGATGTCGACGAGCAGCACGAGCGTCTGCATGGTGATCACGTCGATGCGCTTGCAGTGGAAGCGAGCCACCTTGAGCACCTTGAGGTACGTGCAGCAGAGCACGACGAAGGACAGCAGGAAGCTGAGCGCGTGGAAGGCGCCCGTGAAGACGGCGAAGCGCAGGCGCTCGTCCGGCCGCCGGCTGCACAGCGTGCACGACGCGTACAGCTGGTGGAAGCCGAGCCAGGACAGGGCGAGCGCGGCGGCGGGGAAGGCGAGCGCGTGCAGCCACGTGTAGGCCACCATGAGCGCGGCGTCGCGGAGGCGCATCTTGGCGCGGTAGCTCAGCGGGAAGACCACGGCCACCCAGCGGTCGATGCTGAGCGCGGCCATGCTGAGCATGGAGTTGGTGGCCAGGAAGGTGTCGAGGAAGGCGGCCAGGCGGCACAGGCGGTCCCCGGCGGGCTGCCGCTGCGCCACGACGCCGGCCAGCGTGAGCGGCATGTTGAGCACGGTGCACAGCAGGTTGCCGCACGTGAGGTTGAGGGTGAAGAGCGCCGGCGCCTGGCGGCGGATGTCGGCGCTGTGCAGGAGGCACAGCAGCACCAGCGCGTTGGACAGCAGCGAGACGCCCATCGTGCCCACCAGCAGCCCCGCCAGGCCCGCGTCCCACGAGTTCATGGTGCGCGCCCGCCGCGGCGCTCAGGGCCCGCCACCCGGCACCGCCATGGCGCCCCCGCCGCCGCTCAGCCCCGCGCCGCCGCCGCCGCCGCCGCCCCGCGGCCCCCCCC